TTTTAGTCAATATTTCATTATATATTAGTTTAGTTATTATTTCTAAGTATTTTTGGAGGAATTCTACTCCCGATCAGTTCTGTTCCGCTTTTACGGAAGTTGTAAGTTTTCTTTATTTAATAAAATGCTGTTTTAATTCATGTTTGCATAGTATGAGTTAGGGTCCGGATCTCTGGGTCCGGACTAGTTTGGTTGTTTATTTTTTGATGTTAAATTAATGTTGGAATGGTTAATCTATTGTTCTTGCCTTATTTAGTTAATTATTCTCGAAAGATTTAATTAGCTATTTATTGAGAAGATATTGTATGCTAAAAGGCTACGATATTCAAGTGCAACAGATTAAGTACAAATCTAGAAATGGATGGGTAGTAATAGAAATATTATTATTCCAATTGTTAATTTAATATGATAAAATAGATCCAAACGATGTCCTGACCCTAGGTCCAGATCTATACTTATACTATGTAAACTTAATTTATTATTTTTACTCTGCTCCTTTTATAATCGTTCCGAGAAGACTTTCATAAACCAATCCTAATCTTCGCCTAGTTAGAGTAATTAAACTAATTCCCTTCGTCCACTCCTCGAGAGACACGACACTCGGAGAGAAAACTAACCCTTTACTGGGAAGGTTTACTACCCGAAAAACTACCACTGTCAATACATTAAGGGTATAGGAAAGAAAATTCTAAAGAGCTGTACCTACATCAGTCATGCCAGAAAGAGCCAAGTACCCCTGAGAAGGGGTAGGCTCGTGTGCTGTCGTTGCTTCACAATGCATGCAGGTAAAATCAGAGCCACAATAAGTCATAACCAGAGCTTCATAGAGAACATAGAGAATAAACCATCTTGTCACAGAGCACAGATAAGTCTTTAACAAAAACCATGTAATGTCTTCAGCATCATAAAAATAGGGCAGAACAACCCTTCAAAAAAATTTTTTGGAGCAAAAGTATTATCAATAAGGCAATGTTTACTCCTCTGAACTAGCATCTTCTGATGGTTCTTTAGAGGCCCCTGCTGAGTCTGATGAAGAGATCTCTTCTGCACTGTCTTCTTGTATATCTTCTTCTGTGTCTGAATGTGCAGCAGCATTCTTTCGTTTAGCCAGTTTCTCCCCCTTACTCTGTGCATGCCTTGTTTGCCTCAGGGTGTGTGCAATCTGAATGAGCACATTCATCCTTTCAGTGGATCTTTGAGCAATTTCATGATGATAATCTGCATCCATTTGGAGGGATTTGATCTCCTTATCAAGAAAACTGAGCTGGTTGTCTACTGAGGCTGGATTTGGTATTGCTGCAGGGGATGCTCTAGCTGTAACCATGTCGTTGAAATGCTTGCCTTCAAAGTGTCTGTTATCTGCTTGCAGCAAAGGTGGAACCTGTTCTTCTTCTTCACAGTCTTCTTTAGTGAATCCCTGACTTTTCAGGATATTGTAAATTAGCAGGGGATATGGAAGGCCATTTTGATTTGTCTTGAATTTTGTAGCTGCAAAGGTCATGACCTGATCAAACACTAATTTACCCAAGTCAAAAGGTTTACAATGCTTAATCCTGTAGATGAGAGTGGCCATACAGAGAGGCACTATGTTTGTGTGAGTAGTTAGAAGCCAGTGATAAGAAGCTATTTTGAGAAGGAGGGCATAAGAACTCTTGAGTACTGAGGAAGGAACTTTCAATTTTCCATGTTGTGAATTTCTCATACCATTTGTAAGATCATGCCATATGGTGTCTTCATCAATGGGGGAAACCACAGAACAAGAGGTTGTACCCAGAAGTGTGTTGATGACAGTTGGAGAAAAATTATAGAATTTTCCTCTGACAAAGACTTTGTGAAATGAGGGGTCATCATCGGTCATACAAGCATCAGATAAGTTGCAGAAAAATTCTTGAATCACTTTCTTGACATAAGATCCAGGCAAGGTGACAGATTTTAACAAGTTGTTGGACTCAAGAACAGGCAGGAGGTTGGTTTTCTTTTTAAAATCACTTATATCCAAGTTCCTTTGAGGAATGATAAATTTCTTCGCAATATCAGCGAAATGAGATCTAGCAGAAATTGAGATGAAATTGTGCAAAGATGACTTTCCTGAGAGTGTAGCAGGTTCAGCAACCTTTGATGTAGAGGAGCTTCTTGTCTTTCTTGCTCCGCTTGTCTGTGCTTCTCCAGATGGTTTGGCCTTCTTGGTAGGCGTAGTAGCAACATCATGTCCTTTCCTTTTCTTTGCCTTTGTAGTGGACACATTCTTCTGTTCCTTCCTTTCTTCTTCAGACTTGTCATCAGGAACTGGTGAGTCTTTCATTTTCCGCAGTGACCATCGGCTTGGACCAGATAGGTTTTTCTTCCTCTCTTTTCTTCCTTTGCATTTTGAATCTGGATCTTGAAATGGAACGTTTGAACATGCAATTATGGGTTCTTCTTCGAGTATTTCACCCATAAACTCAGGCTCAAACACCCCCTTCAGTGATTCTTCATCTTCCATAGACATCCCCCTTTTTGATTCTTGGGTAGGGTTCTGAGAACTCTCGTTGTCTGGTAGGGTTGATGGGATGTATTTCAAGAGAGGAACCTCTGTTGACTGAAGAATGGGGTTCTTCAGCACATCCTCTTCAGTAGGGAGTTCATCGGGTGCATGTTCCCTTTCTTCGTTGATGGGTGTATGAGTGCTTGACGATGTGCTAGGCATGGCGAAAAGCTTTGTCCAGGAGGGCTTCTTGAATATCTTCTTCTTCTTCTTTGGTGGACTTTTTCCGGTCCATCTCTGAGGTAGAGCAATCTTCGTTCTCACCATGTGTATCTGCTTGGGAGAGGAAGATGGATGATTCAATTTTAAATTTCTGGACAATTCTAAGGCAGAGTGAAAGCTTTTGGAGTTTATTTGATCTGAGACGCAGCCTTTTGAGATCTTGCAGTGCCTCTTCGTTTCTTGAGTTAATTTTAGACGCCACTCTTGTGCTCCGTGTCCATGCAGTGCATGCCCCCTTTTTGTGCCATATGTCATATTTTCAGCGGATAAGAAAATTGAACACATTAGCTGACAATTTGTGTTCAAAGAAAAATATGTGACATATTAATAAGGTGCACACAGACCCAATTTGGATCTGAGTGTTTCAAATCTGCTTCCTTCCAATGCCTTTGTGAAAATATCAGCCAGTTGCTCTTCTGTATCAACATGCTCCAGACTAACAATTTTTCCTTCCACTAATTCTCGTATAAAGTGATGCTTAATGTCAATGTGCTTTGTTCGAGAATGTAGCACAGGATTTTTTGACATACTGATTGCACTTGTGTTGTCGCAATATAATGGTATTGTCTTCTGTTGGATTCCATAGTCTGATAACACTGACTTCATCCATAACAATTGTGCACAACAACTTCCGGCTGCTATATATTCAGCTTCTGCTGTAGATAATGACACTGAGTTTTGTTTCTTACTTAGCCATGCAACCAAATTTCCTCCTAGAAAGAAACAACCCCAGATGTACTTTTCCGATCATCTATATTTTCTGCCCAGTTTGCATCACTAAATGCTGCTAATTGTGCTGGACCACCCTTCTCGTACCATAATCCCAAGTTTTGTGTGCCTTTGACATATTTTAGTATTCTTTTGACAGCCTTGAGATGTGACTCCTTTGGACTTGCTTGGTATCTGGCACATACTCCCACACTATAACAGATGTCTGGTCTGCTGGTAGTAAGATATAGCAGGCTTCCAATGATGCTTCTGTAATAAGTCTCGTTTACCGATTTTCCACAATCATCTCTGCTGATCTTTTCGTGTGTTGGACAAGATGTTCTAGCACTTTTACAGTCACTCATATCAAACTTCTTCAGCATGTTCTGTATGTACTTAGCTTGTGAGATAAAGATGCCTTTCTCTGTTTGCTTTACTTGCAACCCCAAGAAGAAGGTTAGTTCTCCAATCATGCTCATCTCAAACTCCATCTCCATTGTTTTGACAAACTTATCAATATGCTGCTTTGAGGTGGATCCAAAGATGATATCATCAACATATATCTGAGCAATGAGGATGTCTGATCCGTACCTTTTATAGAACATAGTGTTGTCTGCTCCACCCCTTTCGTATCCTTCCTTGAGAAGATAAGTGGTCAGCCTCTCATACCATGCACGTGGAGCTTGTTTCAACCCGTAGAGTGCTTTCCTCAGTCTGTAAACATGATCTGGATGTTTTGGATCTTCGAACCCTTTTGGCTGTGTGACATAGACTTCTTCTTTAAGATAGCCATTCAAAAATGCAGTCTTCACATCCATCTGATAGAGTTTCATGTCAAGGATGCATGCCATACTGATTAACATGCGAATGGATTCTAGTCTTGCAACTGGAGCAAATGTTTCTTCAAAATCGATTCCCTCAATTTGTGTATAACCCTGAGCTACCAGCCTTGCTTTATTTCTGACTACTTTCCCATCTTCATATGTTTTGTTTCGAAAAATCCATTTTGTCCCAATAACATTAACACCTTCTGGTTTTGGAACTAGCTCCCATACATTGTTGCGTTTGAACTGTCCCAACTCTTCTTGCATAGCATCTATCCATGGTTCTTCTTTAAGAGCTTCTTTTATGTTCTTTGGCTCAACTGAAGAGGTGTAGAAAGCATTTATCATTTGGACAAAATCTATCTTCTTTTTCCGAGTCTGAATGCCTTCTCTTGGATTCCCTATGATATTTTCTGGTGGATGATTTTTGTGCACATGTGTGGGTATTCCTATTGACTCCTCTGGTGTTGCTGCTGACTCCTCTGAAACTGTAGTTTGATCCTCCTCATTGTTTGTTTGTTCTTCAGATTCTGTCTCTTCTTGTTCTGAAGCAGTCTTAGTTTTTGTTTCAGTGATTTCAGTGTCATCACTGCACCTTCTTGGTATTTGATCATCTACCACCACGTTTATTGATTCAATTATATTCCTGGTTCTTTTGAGCAATACTCTGTACGCCTTGCTGTTTGGTGAGTAGCCCACAAATATTGCTTCTTCACTCTTGGCCTCGAACTTTCCTTTCTGTTGTCTGTCTCGTAAGACATAACACCTTGCTCCAAAAATGTGGAAGTGTGCAAGATTTGGAGTTCTTCCTTTCCACAACTCATATGGAGTAGCCTTTGTGCCGCTCCTGACGTATACCCTATTTATTGTATAGCAGGCTGTATGTACTGCCTCAGCCCATAGATTCTGAGCTAAGTTTTGGGTGTTTATCATTGTGCGGGCCATCTCTTGTACATGTTTGTTCTTTCTCTCAGCAACTCCATTCTGTTGTGAGGTTTTTGGAGCAGAAAACTCATGCTGAATTCCTTCCTTGTTGCAGTAATCACTAAAGGGCTGACTTTCAAATTCCCCACCATGGTCACTCCTAACACGAATGACCTTTTTAATCTTGAGCTGTTTCTCATTCTGCACTTTGTTGCACAGTATGACAAAGGCTTCTAGTGCATCATCTTTGTGTTTTAAGAAGCTTACCCAGGAATATCTTGTGTAATCATCCACCACTATGAGCACAAATCTTTTCCCTCCGATGCTTTCTGTTTTCATTGGCCCAAAGAGATCAATATGTATTAACTCCAATGGTCTTTTGGTAGATTGATATACCTTTTTAGGATGGTTTGCTCGTGTTTGTTTCCCTTTCTGACATGGACCACATACTTCACCTTCCAATCTCTTTATTTTGGGCAATCCTCGAACTGCATCAGATTTTGAGAGGGTTGTGAGATCTTTAAAATTTAGATGTCCGAGTCTGTAGTGCCATAGCCTTGCATCCTGTTGGCTTGCAGGGAAGCACAGAACATTAGGAGTGACTTTGTAGCAGTTGTCAGTTGTTCTGTCACCTTCTAATACCACCAGTTTGTTTTTGTCTTTCACGCGACACTTTTGCTGAGTAAATGTGACCTCCAGCCCTTGGTCACATATCTGGCTGATGCTCAGTAGATTTACCTGAAGTCCTTGTACAAGCCATACATTCTTGATTGGTGGAAGTCCTGAAACATTTAGTATTCCACACCCAATGATTTTGCCTGGTGCTCCACCACCAAATCTAACATTTCCTCCCTCAACTGAGTTGATGTTAGCAAGATTCTGTCTGACACCAGTCATATGATGAGAACATCCACTATCTAGTAACCACTGATCAGGAGTGACTCTGAGACATGAATTTGCTACCATGACCCTTTCCTTTGGAACCCAAATCTGCTTGATCTTCTGAGTTCTTGTTCTTTTATTTTTGAGCCTCTGGCATGTCCTCTTGATATGCCCCCATCTTCTGCAGTAGTAACATCTGTAGTTTTGATAAGTCAAAGAGTTTCTTCTATGACGTTTGATATTCTAGCTCTTGATTGGTTCTACTGCTGGGTGATAGCTGTTTCTCCTGGTTTTTGCTATTGTCACACTGTCTTCTTTGAGTGGATCATCTTTTTTGGTGTGGCTATTACATCCGATTCCTTGCCTATCTCCTGTTGCTTTGAACATCATCTCCTGTGCATCCAATACTTCAGCTCCGGCTATCTTCATCCACTTAATGTAATCCTTGAGCTTTTGCAGTTCAAATTTTAGATCTGCATTACTTGTTTCTGCTTTCTCTAGATTCTGCTTCAAAACCTTTAGATCACATGCCAGCTGATTCTTTTCTGCTATATTTCTTCTATTAACCATAAGCAGTTCAGTCCACTTTTCTTGAAGATCCATATGTTGTTCAACTAGATCATCTGACTCTGACTGTGAGATAAAAGCACAGTTGCTTTCCTCACAACCCTGATCTTCGTCGGTATCATCATCACTCCAGGTTATAGAAAATGCTTGTCTCTTCTTTTTAAGGTTGTTTGCACATTCAGTCTGAATATGCCCATGTCCACCACATTCAAAGCACAGCGGTCCTTTGTACTTGGAGCTGTTATCATGGGGCTTTCCTTCTTTGAAACGTGACTCCCTGAAAGTGGATGTCTTAGAAGGTCCTTCTTGAATTTGACTCTTTCCCTTCTTTTGAATCCACTTCTTCTTGAACTGCTTTGTGAATAGAGACAGCTGTTCTTGGAATTCTTCATCAAATGCTAAACCATCTTCACTATCATTCTCCAGATCTGTTCCCAGAAAGGCAATTTGCTTCTCTGGTTTTCGTCTCTTGCTATCCTCCTTCATGTTTAATTCGATGGTTTCAAGATTACCCATTAAGGCATCAAGGGTCATCTTTTTAGCATCATGTGATTGAGAGATTGCTTTGACATCCATATCAAACCTCTCTGGTAGTGATCTCAGCACTTTTAGAACAAGTTTTGATTCTGGAAATGGCTCCTGTAATCTAGCGGTTTGATTTGCTAGGTCGCGGACTCTTCCATGGAATTCTACAATAGTTTCTTTCTCATGCATTCGCAGATTTTCATATTGTGTCATGAGAATCTGATACTTTGCAGTTTTGACCATCTCATCACCTTCATGTGTGACTTCAAGAATATCCCATGCTTCCTTTGCGCTAATACAGTTTGAGATGAGACGATATTGTGTGGCATCAACTGCACCAAAAATAGCATTTAGGGCTTTGTCATTATTCTCAGCAGCAAGGACTTCAGTTCTGCTAGAGTCTTCAAATTTCTTGACAGTTGTTGTAGACAGATCATCCGAGTATTTGACTGGTTCTGTCCAGCCAGTTCCACAGTTCTCCAAACTCCTCCTCCTTGTGATTTTAAGAATGCTCTCATACACCCTTTCCAGAAGTTGTAGTTGTGACCACGCAGCAGGGGTGGCCTGGAAACACTGGCTCCTTCCTCCATGTCTCCCATAATTTGTGATCGTTGAAAGCTAATAACTTAAGCTCAACAAGCTCTGATACCAATTGAAATTCCAGCACTCACAAGCAAATAACCACACCAGCAAACAAACAAAGGCAAAACAGTTATTGAAGGAAG